GAGTTAACAAAATAATCCAGTGCTCGGCAATAGTTTTGCAGAGTGTCTACCAGCCACGTACTGTGAGACCATATATTCCTTTCACCTGGCTTCTCATTCTCAGTACTAGATGCAGGAACAGAAAACGGCACAGTCCATAGCAACTGGCTAGTTGCTTCAAATGTGGTGAGAAGTTCCTTAAATGTTCCATGGACATAAAAACTATTCACCATAGATGTAAAACAGACCCTCCTTCGAGTATCAAATGTCAGGGAAGTGATGTCATCTACCACTTTTCCAAGGTATCGACACTTCACTGACAGAGAGATGTCATGCTCAGCAGTAGCACCATACCCCTGGAAGTTCAAAGCTTCAACAAATACTTTAGCTAGGGCGGTACCAAGCGTCTTAGATGCTGAACTTAATGATGCTCCATCAATCCTACGACGATTAGCAGAGGTAAATCCTTTCACAAGGGCTGTGAAGAAAAAACGTAATGTACAATTCAGCTTGTTTAAAATTTCAACAATGAGAACTTCAGTGCTTTTCTTTTTCAGCTCATGGGAAGATGTCGTTTCTGGTAGATCAGCTGGAATTTCAGAATCAAAATTAAAAGACTCCAGGTGCCGACGAGTTCTCCCACCCCTCATCCGTGCTATTGCATGTCGTGTACGACCATGAATACCTTCGCCAGAACGCACAATAGACACAAATTCACGATCCCCGCCCCAAATAGACTGAGAGCTAGTGCTTCTAATGGATACAGGGTTTGTGTATCTGATTGCAGAAGCATTGTTTGAATCCTCATCACTTTCTCTTTCAACAGTACTCGATGAAGCTGAAACTGAATTATCAGATACTCGATCTACACTTTTCTTTTCTACTTCCTTGGTATCATTACACAAGGCCATCTGCCAAATAATTTGCTTGTATGTTATACCAAGTTCTTTCAGTACATCAGCATCAGCAGCACTCAATTCTGAGATAACTGACGCTGTTCCTTTTAACAAAAAGTTGGAGAGGGACAACATGCCTTCTAGGCATGAGAGAGATCTCAGAATCTTCGTCTGGACTGCAGACTCTAATTTAAGAAGCTGAGTGCCTTTAATGGAAACCAAAAGGTCATTTGTCTTCTTCAGATGTTCTCTTAAGTAGCAGCAGACTATCCGGGCTAGACCAACCGAGTGCTGAGGGGAGAAGTTCTTGAAAGCAACAGAAAAACTTTGACCAAGAGAGTTTGTTAGAGGCATAAGAGGTAAAGAGAATAGCTGCAAAACAGCATCAATTCCTTTCTTCTCAACAAACAGGGAACATACTTCCGCGTTCTGAAGAACTGTTTCAAAGAGACGAGCAACATTACACACACAATCTGGAAGAAACAGCTCAATGCTTGCTGGAGAAGTGTCAGAAGATGGTTCTGCCTCATCCAAAACTGCCAAGCTCTTCTCATCAACGTCAATTTCCATAGGAACAGGAGCAGCATCAGTAGGCAAATCCGCTGACTTAGAGGTGGTGGCCTCCATCCCAGATCCTATAACCAACATGGAATTGAGGATTTCGATGAACATATCAACTCCATAAGTGCGCAATGAAGATTGATGTCTTAAGAGTTCATCAAGCCCACTTGACAAAGAACCAGGTGTATCGCCAGTAAGAGCCCGTAGATAAGACGAAGACGTAAATATTTTCACAAAACATCTCAAGGCATTTCGGTCCTTTACAGCTTGAAGACCGCTATTGTTGAGACACAGAGCATCCAAACACTGTGGAATACATGTTATGGCTTCTGAAGAGCAGATGACCTCATCAGATATAGCATCAAGAAAGGCAGACGTTAAACCAGCTGAATCTAAAGCATTGAAACAAGTGGGATCTTTATGAATGAGATCACTCATGACAGTGGCAGCAAGCGAGAATACTCCACCCCCGAAATCTTTTGCCCTTCGAAAGATAATGCATAAGCATTCAGGCAACAAGCTCTCCTCGGAACCATAGATGTTACTGTTACCAGGAGCATAAGTTCCAAGAGATAGTGCACGTAACAAAGCTTTTAACAACAACCTCCTGTGATACGAAATTAACGCTTCAGAATAGGGAAGCTGTTCAGTATCAGGCCCATTACTATCAGAACTGCAATTTTTTTCTTTCACATCGTCTTCAGTACGAGAGACTTCTAGTTTCAACCGAAAGATAGTATCATCTAAGCCACCCAAATCTCTGAACAAAGCAGCAGCTGGATTGCTGTAATCCATGAAGGCTTCTAATATATGCACAGCTGTACTGACCAAATGCAAGTGCTGGGGATCTGTATCTTTAATAAGAGGCACTAAGGTCTGAATCAGACCAGCTTCTCGCATTGCTGAACATCCAGACGATGACGAAACCAGTACAGTAACAAGGGATAACAAGGCTTCTGCAAAATCCAGAGACCACTTGGACGTATTACAAATAACAGAATCAATAGCTTTCTGCATTAGGCCAGATAGCAAACCACGATTCCCCCCAGAGGTGACAGCAGTTAAAACAGCTGGCTGCCGAGTTCGATCTTGCGATAGTGCAACCAAGGAAAGTAAGCATAGTATCCTTATTTTCTCTGGAACAGTATCCTCATAGCCCACCAGCGTAACTAACTCATTTACAAACTCTGGCTCGCCATTAAAGAAAGAAACAACATTCTCAGTGTCACCAGTTGCTTGAACCAAAACAATGAAAGCATATAAGCGAATGCATGTATACTGCTGCCGGGTATCCAAAGACGCGAAGGCCCTTGCAAATCTCAATCTCGTCAACAACGCAAATCTTAAACTGGGAGGAACACTGTGATCAATGACTAATTTGTTCAGAAGCTCCAGGTCAGACTCTGAACGCAAGCTGACATCTGGTACATGGATAACTTGTAAACCGCCAGGAAGCTCAGTTGATGATTCATTAGAAGCATAAAACTCAAAATGAAGAGTAGAACCTAGCTGGTGAGAAACCTGATCACAACTATTTTCTGTGGCACATGACATCAAGCCAAGGCCTTCCTCTTTTCCCCCCCAGCCTTGTGCAAGGGAAAATAGTTTTGAATTCAGGGAAGCATCTCTTATGGAGTATTTTCCGATTTGCCTTTTCAAAAAGGCAGCTAACGTCTGCAAACAGGCTTCAACAACATCTGGATCAGTAGATGCGAGCAGGAGAGAAAGATGCTGCTGCAGTTATGAAAAAAAAAAGTGTGTGAGAATTGTGCAGGTAGACATCTTAGTATATAGAGCAATCTATCTAGCGGAACAACCAGAAATCAACATCACTCATACACTGTGGCACCAATTAGAAAGAAACCGTGCAAAAATCAATAATATTTAGGGGGATTCTGGCAAAGAATTTTACCTCATAAGAACTATAAAAATGTTTGTTAGTGCAATTCTCTACGACAACTCTGATAACTCGGAGAACTTGCAGAACAGCATCCTTTGGGAAAGGTGGATCAGACTCCTCAAAGTTATCCTCAATATGCAGATCCTTCCTTACTTTAACGTGCTTCTCAAAAAATGTGTCAAAGTAATTGAAGAGGTCCACCCAGTGATGAAAGTCACCCTATATAAAAGAAAAAGAAAAAACAAACAGCCATACATCAAAACGAGAGTAGACAGGACAAAAGGAAAAGAGATTGACAGACTGGACTTATAAGTTACCTTGTCGAATTCCCAGCGGAAACATGCAAGGGGTTCTTGTATTTGCTCGAGTGGAACAGCAGTAACACTACTGATGAAAGATTTGATTTTGGGAGGCTGGTAGAGATGAATAAGAGAAGGGTTAACACAAGAAATATATACAACACAAAATAGAATAGAACAGCACAAAATAAAAGGTATGAAACCCCATTGAAAACCATTTACAAAACGCCTCAAAGCTTAAGAACTCAAACCACATTGTACAAATCAAAAGATTGAATCAACGATCATATCAATAACCAAGAGACAAACAGAAGAAAAGATAGAAATAAAATAGACTCCCAGACCACGATGACGTGTTTATCGAGTGAAAAAGAAATACATGCTAGTACCACGAAAGCCTGAGAACAAATATATAAATCAAAAGCAAGTAGCAGAAAAGTAAAAGAGTAATCTAGAAAGAGCATAAACACGCAAATGCAAAGACAGAGGGAGTAATATAAAATGATCAAGGGTTTAATTACGTGGTTTAGGAACACTCACCACTTCCGAAGCCCTTCTCCTTCTAAGCTTCATGATTTAGAGACAGGGGGGCATATCCTTAACAAGCTATAAGGATTGAGCACTGATCAAATCCTCAACACGAGAGTGAATTGATCAATACACCACCGCCGATGGTGGAACCGAATCAGAAATATCAACGGGAGGGTGATCCGCTCCAATACTTGGATTGATGGCGATCGGGTGAGGCAGACCAAGGAGAAAGAGAAGAGGAGAGAAGAGGCGAGAAGAATTGAGGATCCTCGGAGATAATCGCAAGTGTGGAGCGATCCAAAACTAGGGTTTTTGAAGAGGATCGCGTAATAGAGAGAAGAAGAGGGATTTGATAGGGAGAGAGAAAGACGGTGAGAAAGAGAGAGAGAGAGAAGTGGAGAAGATTTCTAATAAGAAGCTAAGGCGCTTTGTGTTTTATACACCTCCAGAAATATTTTCTCCAATGCCGGTTTACTCTTTATTTTTTTTTCATTATTTCTTTCTCCAATTTCCTATTTGATTGACACTATTATTATTATTTTATTTATTGACTACGATATTGTATTAAAATTCAAGCCAAAACAAAAAAAATGTATTTGAAAATTTGTAAAAATACATTATTTCATTTATTATATTTTGATACATAAGAAAATGTTGTGATATAGCCATATATATTTCATCTGATGTAGCTTGTAGGTAAGTTACTTGGTCAAGGTAATTTAATATTTTGCTTTGGAAATAATTTATGATATTGATATAGTCATCATATAATACTGTATCTATCTTATTTATATAAAGCATCTTTTTAATTCTTAAACGAGTTTGATTAGAAAGTAAATAAAGAGAATCCTTGCAAAAAAAGAGTAGAAGCAAAAGCTAAAGACAATTCTGTGATTCTTTTCTTCACATCTAATGCCCTTTTTTTTTTTTCTTCCCTCATGGTTTCTAATAATACGAAACACAGAATCATCAAACTTACTAATATTTATTTACAAAATATTTGCCAAAAAAGAATCATCATCACTTGCACAATCTATCTACTACACAAAGCTACTTTTTGTGCAGTTAGGCATTAAGTAAGGGAGAGCTTAATCAAAAAGACTCAATCCTCACAGTCTGGTACTTCAAACACCAGAAATTTTGTAGCAGAACTGACTGTCTTACCATCTAGAGTCTTGCTTCTGAATATAGATGATGACAATGAAGACCACATATGGCTCTTCCCGTGCATTCTGATGTTGTTTGCAGCCACCGTTACTTTCTTTCCCATCATTTCGCTCATATCCACAGAGTCTCCAGGTTTCCCCTCTGGCGTTTTTGCTACGAAGCTGTTGAAACATTCAGAGTTTTTTATCTCAACAGATCTTGCTATTGGTGATGAAGATCTTATGGTTTCAAGTTCAGATGTGGAAGGACCCAGAGACTCTCTCTTGTCATGGCAAGTTTGTCCAGGTGCAAGATTTTTTTTATTTGGTTTCGCCCGATACTTCTTTATCTTCTTGTTTTCACCTTGGATCAACGCAGTGACTCCTTCAATGCTGTTAGATATGGAGATGCCCTGTCTAATTTGGGCCTTGTCAATGCTGTTAGAAATGCCTGGCTCATGTGATCCGTTTACAACCTTAGCTTCTGCATGGATAAACCAGGGCTTTTGGTTATCTCGGAAGATGTACTTCATAGGCACAGACTCAACAAGGTAATAAAACCGAGACTTTCGTTTAACCTGTACCATAAAAGAAGCAAAAGTTAGAATGACTCTACAAGCAATAAATTGAAAATGGAATTGCCAGCTTAGTTTCATTACCATCAGACCATGAACTCGTATCTCCCCTAAACTCGATAAGCAACTTGCATGTGTCTTCTCGAGTTTTCCTGCAAAAGAAGACACTTTTCATTGATACATGCTCTGATATTCTTAAATAAAAAATGGTAAGAAGATAGGTATTGAAATAGGTGCAACACAAACAAAAAGATGATCAACCTTCAATTTGAAGGCACAAGACAAAACAGGGAAAACAGAACAATACATGAACAATCTCATCTCATGTATAACAAAGAGACGCATTCAAAAGAACTGAGAAAGGCACTGTGCAGGTCCTCAAGTATGCGAGAGACAGAACATCAAAAGAAAGACAAACACCCATGATGCAGACTACAATGTGAAAGGAACACTTGTTATATTGCTCATCATAGGAATCATAACCTTGAAAATTATCTGTGTAACATACATCCAGCAAAATTTCATCCCAAAATGTGCATGCATTATCAGTTTCCTCATAGGTTACAGAAACAATTAATAGAAGAATCCTACCAGTAAACCTATAAGAGAAGTTTCGAAATTAGGAATCCCCAGAGGAGAAAGACCAAAACTTTATAGAAACAGTAGCTACCGGAAAACAAAACCGAAAGAGAAAAAGAGGGTTTTTAATTAGAGGTGGTGTCGAGCTTACTCTTGAAATCTTCAGCCGTGATATCGAGAGGAACCGTCATGACGATTCCAGTTCCCAAGTTAGTCTCAGTAAAGACAGCCACTTCTTCTGTAAAAGCCATTGTGTGTAACAGCGGTGGCGAATTTTGGTTTGGTTCCGTTTTGTTCATTGGAAAAAAAAAAAAACAAAACACGCCGTTTCAAGCCATGTAAAGACAAATGTTTGCAGTTTTATTGATGTAGAAACGGCAGATTGTGTAAGTGTATATTTCAAAAGACTTAAATTCCCTAAAACGGAGCGTTTCGTTATCGGAATCTTCTCTTCCACCGGTGAGCAAAAAACCTAAAAATGGTCGTTTGATTCTCTCTCTCTGTTCAAACATGCGCCGGCTCAAGCAATGGCCTTTGAGGCCTCTCGCCTACAGCTTCTGCTCTTCGGCGGCGGAGGCAGTTAGTAGTTCAACGGCTGCGGCGGCGACGGCGGCTTTTCCGTTGAAGCATGTGACGAGGTCGAACTTCGAGACGACGCTGAATGATCTGCGTGCACTCGTGAAGGCAGCGGATTTCGTGGCGATTGACCTTGAGATGACTGGCGTGACGAGCGCTCCGTGGCGAGACTCCTTAGAGTTCGACCGCTACGACGTCAGATACCTCAAAGTCAAAGACTCCGCCGAGAAATTCGCCGTCGTTCAGTTCGGCGTCTGTCCCTTTCGTTGGGATTCTCGAACTCACTCATTCGTTTCCCACCCGTTAGTGTCCTCTCCCTCTCTCGTTCTCTTTCTCCAGCTTCAGTTGTGTTACTTCTCTTAAATACTGGTCTCATTTTGGCAGGCACAATTTCTTTGTATTTCCGCGGCAAGAGCTCACATTTGATCCACCAGCTCATGAATTTCTCTGCCAGACGACATCCATGGACTTTCTTGCCAAGTATCAATTTGATTTCAACACTTGCATACATGAAGGTGCCTCCTTTCTCCTTTTCATTTGATCCTGATGTCTGCATTTGCTTTTACATACCATATTTTGATGTCTCCGTGATGAAAATTGTTTAGCTAGCAAGCCTGTGTCCTTTCTCCTTATCATCTGATCTGTATATTTCATACCATATTTGGATGTCCTGAAGACAAAACATAATTTAGCAAAATCAAGTCTGTTTTGAAAGTGTAGAAGTCCCCCAGGAATTCACATATTTGAATAATACCAGGAATATCTTATTTGTCCAGACGACAAGAGGAAGAGGCAAGTCAGCGTTTGGAAAGGTTACACGGCGAGGAGAGGAATGATTCATCAGGTGAAACAGAGGATTTAAAGTTGGTGCGGTTGGCCGATGTTCTATTCGCTGAAAGGATGAAGAACATGCTGAATGATTGGCGGTCTGGCTTGTTACATGGCGGGAATGTATCTTCTGAGTCTCCGAAGATCTCAAATGGATCGACTCAGAGTACTGAAACTGTGTTTCACCATATGCGTCCAGCTCTTAGCCTCAAGGGTTTCACTTCTCATCAGCTCAGAGTTATTAACTCGGTAAATGCTCTTTCTCTAAGATTGATCTCTGTTTTTTCATCTTTTCGTCAGGCTGATTTTTTAAAAAAAAAATCTGTTGGCTCTGGATTTGGCTTTGCAGGTCTTAGGAAAGCATTTTGGAGATCTTGTCTACATTCATTCAAATGATAAAAATTCATGTTCACAAAATTTTGTCGTGTACACTGAATCACAATCTGACAAGGAAAATCTCATGGTAAGGTAGCATTGACATTGCTGGAAAGATATGTTTTTTGTATTTAAAACCCTTCTTTAATTTAGATTTCATTATTGTGTGTCTTTTCACAGAAGGAAGCAAAGGAAGAACGCAAGAGAGTGGGGGAAAGAAAAATACAATCTGCAATCGGGTTCCGTCAAGTGATTGATCTACTTGCTTCAGAGCAGAAGTTGATCGTTGGTCACAATTGTTTCCTCGGTATGCAAGCAAGTTACTTCTCATACATCTATGAAGATTTTGTAACTTAATGATGCCTCGCTCTAACCATTCTGTTCTTCTGACACAGATATTGCACATGTATACAGCAAATTTGTTGGTCCTCTTCCTTCAACAGCTGAGAAATTTGTCGCCTCCATTAACAGTCACTTTCCTTACATTGTTGACACCAAAATACTCTTAAATGTGAATCCAATGCTGCATCAGCGGATGAAGAAGTCCAGTACATCACTATCCTCTGCATTTTCTTCGTTATGTCCGCAAATAGAGTTTTCTTCAAGATCCTCGGACTCGTTTCTTCAGCAGCGTGTCAAGATTGATGTTGAAGTAGACAACATTAGGTTTGTTCCTTTCATTATTCTTGGCATGAAAACTTGACTGTGTTCTGATATAAACTGTTGTCTCTCTAATTCAGGTGTTCTAACTGGAATGCCGGAGGAAAACATGAAGCCGGTTATGATGCTTTCATGACAGGTTGCATCTTTGCGCAGGCATGCAATCATCTAGGGTTTGACTTCAAACAGCATTCGCAATCAGATAACTTGGCCCGGAATGAAAAACTTGAGAAGTACATCAACCGCCTTTATCTCAGCTGGACAAGAGGCGATATCATTGACCTTCGAACAGGCCATAGTAATGCAGATAACTGGCGAGTCTCAAAGTTTAAATACGAGAACATTGTCCTCATCTGGAACTTCCCACGAAAACTGAAGGCTAGAGAGATCAAAGAATGCATCTGCAAAACCTTTGGCTCGGCTTCTGTCATCTCTGTCTACCACATTGATGACTCTGCGGTTTTTGTCTTCTTCAAGAATTCAGAACTTGTCTGGGACTTCCTAACGCTTAAGCGGCAGCTGGAGTCAAGCGATGGTCCAGTTTCGGTTCTTCACCCATTATCCAAGATCCTCGAAGGAGGAAACACTGGAGCTGCAGACTACAAAGCATATAAAGAGATTTGCAGCTCACACATCTCAAAGGTCCTATTCTCTGACCAAGCTGAAACAGTTGGTGTGAAATCAAGAACAAGACCCAACCCACAAGATGAGACTGATAGAAGAGAAGAGAGCACAGACGCTGTGACTCACAAAGCATCGGACTTGATTGATGCTTTTTTGGCCGATAGAGTTGAAGTCGAAACTGCTACGCCTACTTAACTAAGCCATCTAACCTTTTCTTTGTCAATGTGAAACGCAATACTTTAATACAAGATGATTTGAGTTTGCGTGACCAAAACTTTGAGAAAAAAAAACATGTGAAATAAAATGCGAATTATCAGTGGTAAATCTTAAACAATTGATCCAATGGAGATGTCAATCTCAATCAAGTTATCTTCTGCTTCAATTTCCTCCCATATCTCCATGATCATCATCTCCTCATAATACTCTTCTTTACTCATTAAACGTTTTTTCACACTCTCCAACTTCTTTTCCCTTTCTTTCCCCACAAGAGATATTTCTATCAAACCATCTTCCTCTTCATGTAGATTGGTTCTGGTTTCCTGACCTTCAGGCCCCTCTTGATCATGAAGGTATGATTTTGTTTTCGTGTTGAACAAGTCACTTGCGTGGAAAATGTCAGAGAGAAACAAGATTGGGATAGTTATGAGAATGCAAAGATTCTTAAAGAAAGAAAGTGACGAGATCAATAGTGTCTTGTTGACTCCATTTCTTGCCATTGTTGGGGACATCAGACCTTACATAAACCGACTTATATGTGGAAGGATTTGGATATCTATGTTTATAAGAACTCTTGAGTTTCTAGTAGAATGCATTGAACACAGACAATATCTAATGGATACAAAGACAAAATCTGATAACATGTTCCCCATAATCTTGTAATGATGGAGCCCATTAGGTGAGGACTTGTGGTCAATTGAGGAGACAGGTGTTTAATGCAGTTATGGGAGTTTCAGAGGTCAGACACATGTATTGTTGCTTTGACTTTCTCCCGTCGATTCCAGACATAGCTATTGTCTAATAATCTTGAGTCCTACAAAGAATATCTCACCATCCTCTGAACAAACCCGCTTGATGAATATGAAGCTACTGTAACAGATAGATAGTTTCACTTTATGCCGAGGAACTCTAGCCTGATAGCGGTTGGACTCAACCCATATCGATCCAAGTACTTAGGGTCGTGAAACTTGCTTAGATGTCTCATTCCGCTATCACAAAGAATGGTGACAATTGTGTGACCAGGACCAAGGGTTTGAGCCACCCTCACTGCCCCAACACAGTTCATAGCTGAGGAACTTCCAACAAACAGCCCATCATTCTTCAGAAGAAACCTAAGAACATAAATTAAGAAAGATATCAAGATCCCAACTTCTACAAAATCTTTATCAGTACTATATAAAACAGGTATGTAGAAACATATACATAATGAGCACTACCTTGACATCTCAACCGCTTCTTTATCAGTACCACGAAAACCACCATCAAGTTTTGCCATCAGGAAGTTTTTAGTAAGCCTGTTAATCCCTATCCCTTCTGTTATTGTATCAAATGGGTTTTTTAGTCGACGCCCTTCAGCTTCCTCTCTTGTGTACATCACTCCTCGTGTTACTTTATTGTACAGACCAGATCCAGGAGGATCGATCAGGAAGCATTTAACTCTTTCGTTCTTTTCCTGTTTATAAGCAGAAGAAATTTATGAACTTTTTTTCTGTTAATAAGATAAATGAATTATCCTATCATAGAGCTGTGATTAGTATAAGAACTCATGAACCATACCTGCAGAAACCTTGAAACGCCAGCTAAAGTACCGCCAGTACCCGCAGCAGCAACAAAGGCGTCAATGTTGCCATGAGTCTGGTGCCAGATTTCAGGGCCAGTACCTTCATAATGAGCCCTATAATTTGCCAAGTTTTCAAATTGATCTGCAAAGAAGCCACCTGTAACTGAATCTGAGAATAAGGAAGGCTCTTTCTCTTCCTCAACTATGCAACCATTAGTTTTCTCCTGGTGTTTGCCATTTGATTCGCTTCTTAGTCTTCTCTTTGATGCTGATTCATTCGCTTCCTTGGCCCGTCGCCTCGCAATGTTGACAAAGTGATCTTTGTGAGTTATTGACACTGGCCTCACCCTCTCAACAGTAGCTCCAAGGGCTTCAATTATTTGAGACTAAATAAGTCCAGCACAATAAAAATTTGAGTGTATATATATAATGCATACAAGAAAATGTGTATTATTAAAGTGTTTGAAAGAAAAAACCTTTTCAATAGCAGCATCATCAGGTATAACAACATGACATTTACACCCGTATGCCGGAGCAACCGTAGCAAGACTAATGGCAGTACTCCCCGCACTACCCTCTGTTACAACTCCTCCCGGGAACAGCTTACCAGATTCCAAAGCCTAAACAAAGAAACAAGAAAAAATCAGGGTTTTCAGACTTTTGGATTTCATTTATACCATAGTAACTGGAAGTTAAATTGCAAAAGACTAATATGAATAAGCCAAGCTGATGATTCAATCACTGACATTGTTATGAAGTCCAAGACGCAATAAAACGCAAAGCTGTCTTTCTAACTAATTAGCGGAAAGAATACGGAAAAGTTTGAGCTAATAGTATACCTCTTGAATGATCTTCACAACAACTCTATCTTTGACGCTACCTCCGGGATTCAAAAACTCGCATTTCCCAAGAATCTGAACACCAGAAGACACAGGTAGTTTTTAAAAAATTGCAACTTTCACTCATAATTTACTCTATAGTAAGACCAAATCGATACTAGATAAGAAAAATCGAGAAAAACCTCACATCCAGTAGCCTCGGAGAGACTATTGATACGAATCAGAGGAGTGTTGCCAATGGCATCGACGAGCCCGTTCCTCATACTCAGATTCTCCTTCCTCTTCTTCTTCTCGGAGAGGCGGGAGAAAAAGCTCCAATAACAGTAAGATGAGAGCATAAAAATCGCCGCTGCAGCAACAACAGCGCCAGATACCTTAACAGGCGCCATTGAAGTTTCCCTCCTCCTCCGTGATCAAACCGGTGAAGTAATGTAATTAGGTCGTCGGCAAAGCAACTCTCTTTCAGTTAGTTTTTATTTTAACCCCCAGTATTTCCGTAAATTTAAAAAATACGGCACTAATGTTTTTAAATTATCAAATCCATCCTTCTTTGTTAGTTCTTAAACCCGTCACCTGAAACCCTTTTGCTGTTTGCACACACTCGAAACGATGTCGTCTCTATCTCGTTTTCTCCGTGGCACCTTTAACATCTCTACGATCCGCCGTTTTTCCTCCGCCGCCACCGTAGCCTCTGAAACCACCGCAACATCGGCAGTCTCGGCTGCAATCTCGCCACCTCAAAAGTCACTTGCCAGTATCGTAAATGGCGAACGAAACCCCAAACAAATCGTGGAGAAGTTCAAGAAGGCATGTGAGTCGGAGCGGTTCCGGAATAACATAGCCGTGTACGATAGAACCGTGCGTCGTCTCGTCGCAGCAAAGAGATTACACTTTGTCGAAGAGATTTTGGAGGAGCAGAAGAAGTACCGCGACATGTCAAAAGAGGGATTCGCGGCGAGGATCATTTCTCTCTACGGGAAAGCGGGTCTGTTTGAAAACGCACAGAAGGTGTTCGACGAAATGCCTGACAGAAACTGCAAAAGGTCAGTGTTGTCCTTCAATGCCTTGCTTAGTGCATATCGGCTTTCCAAGAAATTCGATGTGGTTGAAGAACTTTTCAATGAGTTACCAGGGAAGTTATCAATCAAACCAGATATTGTATCTTACAACACATTGATCAAGGCACTGTGTGAGAAGGATTCTTTACCCGAAGCTGTTGCATTGCTTGATGAGATTGAGAACAAGGGTTTGAAACCTGATATAGTTACATTCAACACAGTTTTACTCTCGTCGTATTTGAAGGGACAGTTTGAGCTAGGAGAAGAGATATGGGCCAAAATGGTGGAGAAGAATGTAACGATAGACATCAGGACTTACAATGCCCGGTTGCTTGGATTAGCCTACGAGGTGAGGTCAAAAGAGCTACTTAGTCTCTTTGAAGAACTGCAGGCTAGTGGGATCAAACCTGATGTCTACAGCTTCAATGCTATGATTAGAGGGTCTATCAATGAAGGAAAAATGGATGAAGCTGAATCGTGGTACAAAGAAATTATGAAGCACGGGTATCGTCCTGATAAAGCTACATTTGCTCTATTGCTTCCTGCTATGTGCAAAGCTGGCGACTTTGAGTCTGCGATTGAGCTCTGCAAGGAGACATTCAGTAAGCGCTATCTTGTCGGTCAAGCGACTTTGCAGAAGGTAGTTGATGAATTGGTGAAAGGATCCAAGAGAGAAGAAGCTGAGGAGATTGCGGAGATTGCAAAGACCAATGATTTCTTAAAGTTCAATCTAAATTTGCCGTCCCAGGAAGAGTAAGTGGTTCATTTGTTACTCTAGTAGTATCTCGTTGCATTGTGTGAGCGCCCCTTAGGCTATATGTATTTGTGGATGGTACCCGGTTTGTGGCTTTTCTACTTGTTTGAACTTTCCTCTCTCTTGTTTCTTTTTCTGTAGCTCGGTAATTTAAGTTTGACAAAGAAAACGGCATGTAGTTGAGGTTTAGGCAGAAGAAATGCTACGAATTTTAATAAATTTAAGTTATTTTGGAAAAATTGGTTACACAATTTTGGTTTTTGGATAACAGTTTTACATTTTCCTTAATTTAAGTGATCTAAAATAGTAATATACTTCATTTAATTAGTTATTTAAATTTCGGAAATATATACATATCATAATTACAAAACTTAAATAAAAATCTTGGTAAACAAGCAAAATAGAAAAATCAGTATGGGTGGCGTCACAAAAAAATATCGGAGTTGAAATAAACCGACTTCCAAACAGTCGATAAGAGTCTTTAAACGAGGCCATAAAACCTGTTTCCAAACACTCTTATTGTTTAGTTTCCTTTTCTCCGATCACAATTCAAAACCCTACTTCAACCCTTGCTGCGATTCACAGAGCTTGGAGAAAACGCCGAAATCGGAAATGGCGTCTATTGCTCTTCGATCTCGTCTTTTGCCAAATTTAGCGAAGCTTAGATCTCGTCATCTGAGATTATTCTCTGCGGAAGCTGCTTCTTCTTCGAATTCTTCCGCCAGGGTTCAAGGAATCTCCTCTGGCCAGTCCATGTTTTCTGATTTTCCACCGCCGAATCAGCCGCCGCCTCCTCCTCAAGCGGAAGCTGCAGCCGCGGCTGCGACGGGAAAGGAACGCAAAGGTCTTAAGTATCTTGGTTACGCATTCCTCTGGGCACTCACTGGTGCTACCGCTGCGACTGGTTACGCAAGTTTTGGTAAGTATCTGTACTAGCATTCCCTTCAATCCATGAATATCTTTTATCTCCCTTAGACTACTGTTTTCGATCGGCTTTGCAAAGTTGCTCTTTCTGTGAAATGCGAGTAAATTGTGTTGTGGATTAATCCTGGCATTGCGTTCCTATTTGTTATGTGTCTACTTTGAATTCAGTGCTCTTCACTTGGTCTAACTGTGATTTTCTTAGTTATGTTGGTTGAAGCGTGAAACACTTGACGTTGGCTCTTTTAGTTCTGATTATACTTCTTTGTTTCGTTATGCAGCTTATACAATAGATGAAGTGAACGAAAAGACTAAGGCATTCCGAGAATCAGCTACGCAGACCCCCGTTATTAATTCTACTGGCATTGATGTGATTGATGTGAGTAGCTTGATAACAACATTGAGTAGCTGTCAAATTAATGTTGACTATAACCATTGATTCTGTATTGACTAGTTGACTTTCATCCTTATTTTTGAGAAGCCAATCTAATTTCTTTAGTCATTGGCGTTGAATCTGTATCTCAATTACTACCTAACCTTGTGCTGTCATGTTTCGTTGTTTTAAGGGATATGTTTGTAAGCTCCTCCGAATTAATACTTTGTGAACTCATCTGTTTGCAGAAATATCAAACTATGTTGTACTCTACTGTGATGACAGGTATAGCTCTCTTGCCTATGTCATCATTACTAATGATAGTATGTCTTTAATTAGACATAGCATGAGTTGGTATGCTTGAATTCTGATCAGGTTCTGCTAAAGCCATTGATAAGTATTTGGAGCTCAGGGAAATTGTGGAGGAACAAGTGAAAGTATGTCTTCTAACTGAAACACAAATATTGCTTCTCTTGCATCTTTTTTTTCTCTTCAAATTTCTGTAATTCTTATTTTCTGACTGGTTTGTTGTAGGGCTTCACGGAACCCCTCTCAGAAAAGCTTCTTCCAGATTTGCACCCCGCAGAACAGAATGCCTTTACTCTAGTTCTTGATTTGAACGAGACACTGCTTTACACAGACTGGAAGGTAGCAATTTCATTGTTATACTGATCATCAAATACTTGCATCATAAATGTGAATATGTTACTCAGAGTATCTATGTGAATATGTGACTCAGTGATTTACTGATTTGTTTCTTAAGCAACGCAGCATTTAACCTTTTCTGCCTTTTTCCTTTACAAAAATGTTTAGCGAGAAAGAGGGTGGAGGACATTCAAAAGACCAGGTGTGGATGCATTCTTGGAGCATCTTGCAAAATTCTATGAGATTGTTGTGTATTCTGATCAGATGGATTTGGTAAAAGTCCCCGTTACTCTGTTTTGATTTTTGCTTGTAATGTCAGTGTAATGCGGCAACTAACACTTGTTTCTTTGCTTCTAGTACGTAAATCCAGTCTGTGAGAAGTTAGACCCGAATAATTACATACGATATAAGCTGGCAAGAGGCTGTACTAAATATGAGAATGGAAAGCACTATAGGGTACATAAGCAGCTAGCTTATCTCTGTCAAATAATATTTTCATACTTGCCACAGTAGCTGTTTCTCAACTGGATACTAAAATTTCTACTGCAGGATCTGTCAAAGCTGAACAGAGATCCGAGAAAGATTCTGTATGTTAGCGCAAATGCCTTTGAAACAACTCTTCAGCCAGAGAATGGTGTGCCAATCAAGCCTTACAAACTCGAATCTGATGACACGGCCCTGCTTGACCTGATACCCTTTCTTGAATGTAGGCATTTTCAACTGTGGAACAACATAAGTTCTATTCCAGTATTGTGAACTACCTTTTATCAGGGTTGTCTGGTTGATTCCTCCTGTTTGGGTTATGCAGATGTAGCACGTAACGGTCCGGCTGACATCAGACCAGTTCTAGCGTCTTACGAGAGAAAAGATGTTGCCAAAGAGTTCCTTGACAGGTCCATAGAGTATCAAAAGTGAGTCGAGCAGAACTGTTTCTTCACCCAAGCGTATTGTATCAATGCATAATATGTTGCTAGTGTCCCATTGTTAAGACTGTTATATCTCTATGCAGGCGAATGCAAGAACAACGGGGACAAGGCCGGTTCTGGAGGCGTTAAAGGATCTAATATTTTATGTATAGCGAGAGACAATTATATCATCATTGATGCTGCACACTATAAAATAGGAACAAGAGCTACTGTTCATCGCTATGGGGTTTAGGTAAAATCCAAACTAAAATGGTGCCTTTCTCACCAAAGAGTTGTTATGTTTTCGCCAAATTTTCCTCGCCTTCATCTCTGCTTTCCATATGGAACTTTTCTATGAACGAAAAAGAAATTATCATATCGAAGGTTCATTTTTCGTTGTCTAACATATACAGTTTTTTTTCCTGTGATTTATTTTTGCTCTGTTTAACAAATGAATTATGATTATGAATTTTGAGAAAATTATTGGTTGAAACGTCTGTTTTGTATGTATTTGTTTAAAAAAGAGTAATTTACCTTTTATAGTACGCTAGGATCTGTCTGTTCCAATGCGTGTCTTAAGGTGCAATAATATTAGTTGAGGTCTACAATTAGGTCAATCAACCTCTCCTTTAGAAAATTATTTTTATCATTCAGCTATACACTTATCTTGTTAAAAAACTGAACCAAATTATTGAAATCTTTTTCTTGGAAAGATGGTCCAAGCCTGACAGCCAATTACAAAGTTCCTTCACCTGTAATCCTATTTCAATGTGTAGTAATCAACCAACCAAAAACAATAAATTTTATAGTAGTACAAAAACACCATGACTTTTTAGTACGACTCTTATAAACACCACTTATATAAATTACACGACATATCTCTTAACTTGGAGTAATCACAGACACATAAACCCACTAGATAGGTTTTCACATGTCTCGTCCTCTTTTCTTCTTCTTCTTCCTCTTTCTTGTCTTGGTCGTCCCTTGTCTCTCCCATGGAACCGGAGCAGACCACGACGACGATGAGTCCCCACCCGTTAAGAGTAGCTCTGACCTCAAATCAAAATCCTTAATCTCTGTCAAAATCGGGTGCCTTGTCATCATCTTTGTCCTCACGTTCATAAGCGGAGTATCTCCTTATTTCTTGAAATGGAGTCAAGGGTTCTTGGTTCTTGGTACACAATTCGCCGGAGGCGTGTTTCTTGCAACCGCCTTGATGCATTTCCTTTCCGATGCTGACGGGACGTTTCGTGATTTGTTGACGGCGGAAGGAGAGTCGGAGCCGTCTCCGGCTTACCCATTTGCTTATATGTTGGCTTGTGCTGGTTTTATGCTGACCATGCTTGCTGATTCTGTCATCGCTCATATCTACTCAAAGAAGGCCCAAAGAGATTTGGAGCTTCAAGGTACCAAAAGGTTCAAACTTGTGAATCTCAATCGAGAATTAGAAACGGTTGGTTAGTTATGAAAGTTTGGTGCTTTATATATTGTTTCAGGAGAAGACAAATCGAATCAGACGTCAGCAACGACTGAAACATCGGTTGGAGATAGCATTCTGTTGATCGTAGCTCTCTGTTTCCACTCTGTTTTCGAAGGCATAGCAATTGGGATCTCAGAGACTAAATCAGATGCTTGGAGAGCTCTATGGACAATAACACTCCACAAGATATTTGCAGCTATTGCCATGGGAATTGCTCTTCTCCGTATGATCCCTGACCGTCCTTTGTTCTCATCAATCACTTATTCTTTCGCATTCGCCATCTCGAGCCCAATAGGTGTAGCGATCGGGATAGTCATCAATGCAACGACACAAGGGTCGGTCGCAGATTGGATATTCGCAGTGTCTATGAGCTTGGCGTGTGGGGTGTTTGTGTACGTGTCTGTCAACCATTTGTTGGCAAAAGGGTATACACCAAACAAGAAGGTTCATGTAGATGACCCTCGTTATAAGTTTTTGGCTGTGTTCTTAGGTGTTGTTGTCATAGCCATTGTTATGATATGGGACACTTGAGAAAAGAACGAAAAAACAACCAATTGTATCAAAAGATTTGATTACACACAATATGTTTGGTTCTGCTGGTCTGCATTAAGATAAGAAGCCAAACAATTAGACGTGTTTTTCTCTCTTGGACAATTGGTGATTTTGGTGTTGTTCCTTGTGTTTGTTTATGAAACAGTAATTGTTTAAATAATGATGGGCCTGTAATTATTTATTTGGGCTTGTAGTGGCCCATTTGTGATGACAAGAATAATCGTGTCAATGACGTCTCACAATTCAAAACTTCAAAACTTTTAGAGTCGCCTTCTCCGTCTCCAATTCCTGGCATAGAAGATCGGAATTGTCTGGGTTTGAATTAAATCATCAAGGCGGACATTTGCGAAATCGTGAAGGGTTAAATGAATTTGGGAGATTTGAACAAGGTCTGGGAAATTAAGGCATTGAAGAAGAAGCCTAGAGGAGATGAAGCAAGGAAGATTCTGGAGAAGATAGCTAATCAGGTTCAGCCGATTATGAATAGACGGAAATGGCGTGTCAAGCTTCTCTCTGAATTCTGGTAATTTAAGGTTTATTTATTGTCACTTCCGTCTTTTCTTATCATTTGATCTCACATTGATGCTTTTTCTTATCATATATCTTTCTCTGCCATCTCTTGCTTTTTATTATGTTCCAATTTTATTCGAAAAGGGTGTTAAATGATGATTGAAAGTAATGATTTTTAGGGTTCATTCATGATGGTAGCTCTTTCTTTTGAAAATGCAGCCCAACAAATCCAAGGCTATTGGGGGTGAATGTAAATAGAGGCGTGCAAGTGAAACTGAGGCTTCGGAGGGTAAACCATGATGAGGACTTCTTACCATACCATGAAATTCTCGACACCATGCTCCACGAGCTTTGCCACAACGCCCATGGTCCCCATAACGCAAGTTTTTATAAGCTTTGGGATGAACTGCGAAAGGTATTGTCTTTCATCTTTCTTTACCACTTGCATCATGGGAGGTGAATGTATAGGAAGTTAAAAGTACATTCTGAACTTAATAATATGTGATTGTATTAGTTTAACTAATATAGTTTAGAGTTCCTCTTACTTGAACTCTCTTACCATCATGGCGAATTTGAAGTGAATCAGTAGCTTCAAATGTTTATTATCCTGGGTATGGTGTTCCTATTCAAGAAAGATTATTTGAAATTTTGGCCATTTTGTTTTGTCGCATTACCAGAATTTCATTTGTTTGTGCAAACATTTTTTTTTAACTGATTCCATAACATCTAGGAATGCGAGGAGTTGATTTCAAAGGGTATAACAGGGACAGGGCAAGGATTTGATATTCCTGGGAAGCGTTTGGGTGGAATTTCTCGTCAGCCTCCCCTCACATCTCTCCGAGCAACTGCAGCTACAGCAGCAGAAAAAAGAGTGCGTGCGAATACTCTTTTACCCTCAGGACCTCATCGTCTTGGTGGTGATAGCAGCATTATGTCAGATCTTAGTCCAATTCAGGCTGCTGCAATGGCTGCAGAAAGGCGTTTATTTGATGATATTTGGTGTGGTTCCCAATCCACAGAGGGTTTTGAAGACGAAGACAATGATAGTGAAACTTGTAAGGAACCCCTTTCTGTAAGAGTAGATTGCACAAGCTTAAATGAAAAATCAGCAAAAAGATGTAGTAGCTGGTCTAATGTCAGCTCTGGCCCTCAGTGTGGATCAGATGTCATTGATTTGACAGAGGAATCTCCTGAAACAAGATGTCCTAAAAGAAGTTGCATCTCAGGCGATCAAGGTCCTTCTTGCTCAAAATATGCACCAAACTCTGGTTTCATGAAGTCGCCAGTAACTTTTTCGTCGACCAGCCACGATGCATACCACAACAGAGAAGAATCTTCTATGTGGGAGTGTGCAGAGTGCACCTTATTGAACCCGGTAAGTCTTCCTCAGAGAGTGTATGTTTTTCGAGCTTAAACTTGAAACTTCTTGTTTATCTCTCTTCCGTTTTTCATTATTTGTCTTGTGTTCTCCTACTAGTCATTGGCTCCAATATGTGAGCTATGCACTGCCTCAAAGCCAAAGGAAAAGGAGATGAATCACAAAGTCTGGTCTTGTAAATTCTGCACTCTTGAAAACGAGGTGAAGTTAGAGAAATGTGAGGCTTGCGGTCAGTGGAGATACTCTTATGGAGCACCATTGTCGACGGGTGCTCCCAATGTTGGCACTTGAGGGTGTAACAAGTCCTATACAAGACTAAAAGTCGAACTCATAGCGTTTTTGGTAGCCAACGAACAAAATTCTCCAAGTTCTATAAACTGAGTCCCAACTTGGGTTTGTGGCTGCGTTATGTTATGCAGAGTAGGCTTTTTAACTTTATTAGGTGGAAGGTATTTTTGATTTTTCAATAACTCAAACTAAATTAGATAAGTAAGCGCAATGGTGACAAAAAAATGGGAAAGGTTTCTCCTTTGAGTAACATTTTGGAGGAAGCTGAATGAAAATGAAATTGATGGTGATTTTGTAATCCTGACGTTTTCAGCTTCAGAGGGTCTCTTTGTTCTCGTTACTTTCATCTTTTATCTATTGCAGTTTCAGTTTCGATTCCCTTAAACTACCGCTTTCCTCACCAAGTACTGAAACCTTAGACCTATTGCCTAAAGTTTATTGAGAAACTTTTCTCTGAGGCTTCTGAGGTATGCTTTTCTTCTTAACCATTCTCAGAACCTGTATTGTTTGATTTCTAAAATGCTATACTTTTTTTTTAAGCCTGCTTTGCAGAATCATTAGCTTACCTAGAATTGTGTTTTATCCTTTCTATCTTTGTGCTACGCTAAGCTTTCTGAACTTCCCAGTTCGACTTATATTTGAATTGTTTAAATATCCTGTGCGTTTATGTCCATGCTCGTGAATAGATTGCCTAGTTTTCACTAGGCCTTGTTAGTATTGTAAAACTTGAAAAACGGCTCTTTTTGTTTGGCTATTGTGAGGCTTTTCTTAACTTTCTGGTTTATTAACTTGCTGGAGCATTAGAGTTTCTCGGAAGTAGATAGTATCTTCAGTTCCCTTAAACGTGATGTTGTGTTTTTGTTAGCAGATGGAACCAAAGCAAAAGCTTAAGGATCATAATGCATGGGTACCTGTTATAAAGGATTCATGCAAGCAGATAGTTTATGCCGCTCGAAATGCCAATTCAAAGACAATGGGATCTTGTACCATGCCAACCACGAAGCTCATATACATGCATGCTAAGTTTCATTCTGAAACCAGGAGACACCAACGCATGATATACATTCTCTACCTGACAATTCAAACTATCGACTTGATACAACTTGATCTTCCTGCTGGTTTTGGATGAAAATAAATTCATAGGTAACAGTGGTAAAACTCCCATTTCATTGTTGTTGTGGATTCCATTAAGCCCTAGCTCCCTCTTGTCCTACTAATGTTCCATAGGTCTTGTTTTTAGTTAATAGTTAAATTGAAATATGTTGGGCCAAATTGATAGTTGTCACAAACGTTGAAAATGTAATGCTCCCACGCCCATTCCAAATACTGTTTTGTTTGTTTTTTTTTTTTTTTTGCTAAACATGTAAATATCATTAGATGAAATATAGGTTTTACAAAAAGCAAAACCTTATCAAGAGCAGCCCTGGCAAAAAAATAAAACAAGGCCACAATTTAAAAACAACAGGATAAAGTTATCTAATCCAAAAAAGCATTAAACCATGCCAATGCTTCTTGAGTCTCCGAGAAGAGATGATGTTGCGCAGTTCGCGGTCTACCAGCTTGAAGATGCGTGGCAGAGCAATCCTTGTGGAGTTGTGAAGGACGTTGTTCCTTTACTGTTTTGTTTGTTGTTGTTATATAGGGTTTATTCTAGAGATATTCGACATTTTCTTTTTCTTTCTTTCTTTTTTGATTGTAAATAGTGCTCTCGTTGAGAACCAAATCAAATTCTCCAAGGGGAATAGTGTGTTAAGTATTTTTGTGTGTGTTTTCAAGATTTTGAAGAGCCAAATCTTACTTGACTGGTTGAAATTGAGAAGAAAATCTAATAATGGGACAATGAAAAGGATAGATTGGGTCCTCAAACAATAGATACCACTACTACTAATATTTCACTACTGCCATTTTAAAAATAATTAGATGTATTTTGTTTTTTTTTGTTTTGTTTTTGATTTGTTGTTGTCTTTCTGATGTCAAACACCCATAAAATTCCAACCAGATAAAGATAATTTTATATGCAGTAAGAAGAATGAAAGATAAATTTATTTTATCTCGTCCATGATATAAGAAAAAGTGGATTACCCAACCAAATAATTTGTCACATACGATCCACTAAACAAACTTTAGAGACAAATGACAATGTCACGTAATTAATATATTGAATAGAAAGAGAGAGAGAGAGAGAGAGAGAGAGAGAGAGAGAGAGAGAGAGAGAGAGAGAGAGAGAGAGAGAGAGAGAGAGTTATCTTGGACCATAATAATATTCTTCTTGTTGTCAAAGTCAAACAATCTTTTTCATCTTTATGCCAATGGAGTGTGTGTAGTATTAATTTCCCTTTTATTGGTTATGAGATTGTTAATTAGAAGATTGCAAGTTAAACCAACTTAATAAAAGTATAAACTATGATTAGATTCAGACAACCTTGGATGCAGGTAGGAAAGTCAAAGGGGGAACGGCTTCACGCAACTTCAGACAAACATAACATAGACGTCCGTCATTACAAACGTCACCTTTTTTTTTTTCATGAGTGATGGACTGATGGGCCTTATATAGAGTTAGTTTTATGTGTGTAAGCTAGCTAACCAGAGTAGTAAAGTAATCATGGAAAAGTAAAAACAAAACCGTTAACATCCTATAATGTCTTTTCATAATGCTATTAACATCGAATAGTTATTAATCTCATCTCTCTAACTAGATTACATATTAAAGAATTACAAAAAAAAAACAGTTTAGAGAGTGCTAATTTTGTAATTAAGATGTTTTGGGTCAGAGTCAAAGGTCACGACCATATCTCTCTCTCTCTCTCTCTGGCTATATATATAAACAAAGCTCTGTTTATCTTCTCCACTCAACCATTCTTTCTTCCCAACCCACAAAAGGCAAAACCATGGCGACGTGCATCGACACATGCCGAACCGGAAATAACCAAGAAGACGATTGCCGGTTCTATTGCATCAAGAATTTCCTCCGACCCGGTTACTCTCTAAACCGGAAGATCCACACCCAAACCGAAGATGACGTCTGGAGCAAGATGCTTGAAGAAGCCAAATCCGATGTGGAGCAAGAACCCATTTTGTCAGACTACTACTACGCTTCCATCACATCTCATCCATCATTAGATTCTGCTTTAGCTCACGTCCTCTCCGTAAAGCTCTGTAGTTCGAACCTCCCGAGCAACACTCTCTTCGAACTCTTCATCAGCGTTTTAGAGGAAAGCCCTGAGATCATCGAATCGACGAAGCAAGATCTGATTGCAGTTAGAGAAAGAGACCCGGCTTGCATCAGCTACGTTCACTGCTTCTTGGGTTTCAAAGGCTTCCTCGCTTGTCAAGCTCATCGCATAGCTCACGCGCTCTGGAAACAGAGGAGAAAAATCGTTGCTTTATTGGTCCAGAACAGAGTATCCGAAGCTTTCGCCGTCGATGTTCACCCCGGAGCCGAGATCGGAAAAGGGATTCTGTTAGACCACGCGACGGGCGTTGTGATCGGAGAGACGGCGGTGGTTGGTGACAACGTTTCGATTCTACACGGCGTGACGTTGGGCGGAACAGGGAAACAGAGCGGTGATCGGCACCCGAAGATCGGCGACGGAGTACTGATCGGAGCTGGGACTTGTATATTGGGGAATATTACGATCGGAGAGGGGGCTAAGATAGGATCAGGGTCGGTGGTGGTTAAGGACGTGCCGCCGCGTACGACGGCCGTTGGGAACCCGGCGAGACTGATTGGTGGGAAAGAGAATCCGAGAAAACTTGATAAGGTACCTGGTTTGACCATGGACCAGACATCGCATGTGTCTGATTATGTCATCTAACCAAAGTGTGTTGTTGTAATAGCTTCTGCTGTTTCTTCTTCTTATTAGAAAGGTCAGTCGTGTGTAATGTAATTGATGAAGAACCAAATCACACTTCCGTCTTGGTATGTTTTATGCAATTTGATTTCGTCTCCCGGTTTAATGTCTTGTTAACCGGTTGAGCAATTTAGGGTTTTCAACTAATCAATCAAGAACATTCATATTTATTCTTCACCGTAAGTGTAACCTTCATCACACGAACACAGAGAGGATCGGAGGAGGTGATCTTTCTCGTTCTTCGAATCCTATGATAGACTGAGATTTCTTGATTAATTGGGAATTACTGAAACATCTTCTGCCATGGAAAGTCATCTGCCAGTTGACCTTGTTATTGATATCTTGTCTAGAGTCTCTGCAAAGTCTATAGATAGGTTTCGTTGCGTATCCAAATTATGGGAATCCATACTTGGCCATCCTCATTTTAAGGAGCTTTTCCTGACTCAGTCGTTAGCTCGTCCACGGCTCTTGTTCACCTTCAAAGCTAACGAAGAGTTATTTGTTTTCTCTTCGCCTCAACCTCAAAATCCACGTGAAAACTCTACTCTTGTAGCCACCCCTTATAAGTGTTTTCCAAAATATTTCCCAACTGATAGATGTACCTCACACCGTAGACTGGTCTTTCTCCAGAGAGGGAAAACAGGGCGGGTGGTTTTTAACCCGGTTACGGGGGAGTCCATAACCTTACCCAAAGTGAAAGCGACAGGTATTAAAATAAGCTATCTTGGCTTTGATCCCATCAGCAAACAGTTCAAAGTGTTGTGTATGACTCGGTCACGTTATGGAACACCCGATACTCATCGGATTTTGACATTAATGGAGACAGGAAAAGGACGTCATCTATGGAGGACGATCCAAGACTCAAGAAATTGCTATGTTTTCACGGGTGATCT